ACAATACTAGGTACTTTTCAACTTTATTGAATATTGTGTGACCATTAGTATTTTGCAGTCTTTTGTGTGATTGGTCAAATTATTTTTATTAGATATATTAAATGATACTTTTTAGTTGAAAAATAGTTTCTTAATATGCGTGTTTTTTACTAAAACAACTTATATTTTGAAACAGAGGGAGTATATGTAATTATTTTTTTCTTGATAATAGAAACTTGATTTTCCAAAAGTATTCTATGTGCATCGGCTTCATGATACTATATACATGTATAAGAAAAAATATGTTAAACTCACTTGAAATATCGGAGATATGCTTTTCGAGGATTTTTGTCTTTCGAATTATATGAGATTCAACAAAGGATTGAAATAGAACATATATTTGACGTTTGTAAAAGATATTTTCTCAACATCAATCTAGTGATAAGACACGACATGTACATTTTTTTTTTACTTTTAGCATTCTCGTTCTCTTTCAATCCTAACATTTTTGCTTTGTGGGTGCATATAAAAATCATATCATTTTCTTTCGACACGATGTGAATCTTGGTTGAAAAATAACGAGAATGCAAAAAATGATATGGTTTTTAACCACTGTTATATACATCAGAAAGAAAATGATATGGTTTCCTATTGGTTTACTGATACAGACAATATATTTTTGTAATCGATAATGAAGTGTGTTTGTGAGAAAAAAAAATGATATGGGTTTTACATCCGGGAAAAATAATATGGTTTTCACATGCACCAAAAAAATCATATGATTACATATAAAATAAATTAAATGTAATTTCTAAATTTTTATGATTAAAACTATTTTTACAATTAAATGTGATTTTTATTTTTTTATGACTAAAAATATTTTGATGATGTGGCTGATGATTTAGTTGCCACGTCAGCTGATTATTAATGACTCGGTGATGTGGCAGCTGACTCAAGCCACATGACTCAATGTTTTAGCCAAATTATATAAGTTAATGTATGAAATGGCACATATATATAGTCATATATGTTTTGTAACCATGATCGATATTTTTTTTATAAAACGTGGGAGTTTCGATTTATAACCTACTCGGTATCCGGAGGGAGTCTTTAGATATTCTGATCTAAAGAATAACCTTTCGTACGAAAGAAGATTTGAACCCGGGGCACAAGGGAACCAACCACCTTGTGTTACCACTAGGCTACCACACTTTTGGTACCATGGCCAATAGTATATTAATAAATGAATTCATAATCAAAGAATCTGTATGTTCGATAGAGCGAAAGATTTCTCCCGGAGTACGCCGATTACCCCCCGAACCGTACGATTAATAAGACGTATATCAATAAACTAATTTACCCATATACTTGCACCATTTCTTAAATGAATGATGGCTGTAAACTGGATATAGTTTAGACATAATAAGTTGGGAGAAATAGATGGTTTAAGAGAAAAGACAGACTCTAGACTCAAACTCATTTCCAAAGTAGTACAATTAGACTATATTTTGAGGTGGAATATGGTAAGGGCACGAGAATATACCAACTAAACTCATGAATGGGTCACCATGCAGCTAGATTGATAAATGCAATTTCGTCATACAAAAGAATGGCCTTGCTCACTAAGATATGGCCTTGCCAAACCTCTTATTTTCTTTTTCGAACACAAATAGAAATAAAATCGGCAGTGACCAAACCAGAATCACCATCAGAGCAACTCCCAGAACCCACCATCTTCTGCGAA